TTCTTTGATCGGTTTCAAAATCGTTTGATCGGTTTCTTGTCGCATTGACTTGTTTCGATTTCTTTGATCGGTTTCAAAATCGTTTGATCGGTTTCTTGTCGCATTGACTTGTTTCGATTTCTTTGATAGGTTTCAAAATCGTTTGATCGGTTTCTTGTCGCAGTGACTTGTTTCGATTTCTTTGATCGGTTTCAAAAAGTCGTTTTAATTTATGAGGGGCTCCCTGCGGGCGGGAGGGAAGACGTGGGGGGGAAGACGTGCGTAGTAATCGCGTCCGACGCTCAAAAAGCGGTGGATGGACAGACGAGTTGCGGGGAGTCCAGGGTCTGTGAGTAGTAAGGATAAATCGGCCTCTGACAAATGTCATCGATATGATGATGAACACACTCTTTCTAAGAATACGTTTGATTTACACTACCGTCTACTATAGCTACTACTTCGTAAGTCAACCACATCGTAACGTTGTAAGGATACTATTTATATTGCATCGTGCCCCAAATGGACACTTTTAAATTTTAGTTGTGGACACGATATTAATAGGACCTCCTTGCAAAATTTTCGCGCCTTTGAGCGCACTTCCTTGGAAGTGCACTTGCACTATAAAGTAGGACTGTCTACTAAAATACATTCAATGGGTCCTAGAATATATAAAAAGTGCTTCTTCTAAAAAAAGCATCGTTATCCTATTACTAAAAAGCATCGAAGTGTAAATCCCCTTTCTCCCGTCAATCCCTCAAGTTACCCCTACCAGAAAATGCTTTCATTGTCGTAATCAACTATCTTTGGATGTCGCGTGTGCATGAGCATTAAATCCAAAACCGAGGCCATGGGCTGTCCTTCTGCTGCAGATATCCTCTATTGTCTGCAGCTTCGCCGACGGTTGCAAATTGTCTTTATCATGCTGCGCTTCCAGAAAAGTAGTATGTTCCAAATTACTAGTCTTCTCTTGCAAGGCTTGAAGATTGTTCATCAGTTCCATCAGGTGTGGATACGGCTGAACCAACCGAAATCGCGCAATTTGGATCAAACTGAATGGTCTCTGGCAAACCTGAATCTCTTGAGGGAGTGCTCGAAGATGCTACACTGGGCGGTGGAACATAGGCATCCCCAAAAATTGCTGCCCGAACGTGCTCAATTTCATCTGGGTCACCTGCAGTCGAAAGTGAAACCCGAAGGACAACGGTCACTGGATCCTCTGGGTACATGACCCGAAGCATTTGGTACCTTGGGCGTATGTAAACAATGCAGTACATCGTTCCTTGTAGTGGGTAGAAAAAGAATGCTAGAAATTGAAATGCATAGTACGTGGTGGAATCAGCATCTCCGTACTTTCCAAATGCAACGAACAACCAAATAAAGGAATTGAAGTACACAAGACTGTACAACAAAGATTGCCTCGAAACTGCCTGCATTCGCTGTTTGATTGGTTCGCTTACTTCGGCATCTTGGTCATCGATCGTTCCATGGCCAACTTTCCATGCTTCAAAACCAATTAACATTGTACAAGCCAAACCCAGGAGAGACCCAATAACAATGATAGCCTGAAACGCCAGCATAATGACATCAGATTCGTACGTGACATATTCCCCAGTCAATATCCCCTTTGTACAGTCAGCTTCATCAATATCACTACAAGATCTCTGCGGCAAGCACAGATCTGTTTTACGATCAAACCCAATACTTCGCGTACCAGCGGCAAAGGATGCAACAGTGATTGGCAACAACCAGCATATTATATGTGCTGCAAACTCAGAAGGACCGATAACATCTTCGGGCATTCTCGGACTCTTTGTGTGTGTCCGGATGCTGAAGAAGAAGTAGAGAGAAAGACAGCTATAGTACATGCAGACTGATAGAGACCCGAACATGAAAAAGAATCCACTTGCGATGCAAGAGCTTTCGTTTCCTATCGACCAACTATGAACCTCATCCTGTGGTATCAAGATCGGATGCCAGAGTAGAAATATTGAATTTAGAGCATTTGCTGTGGCAAGCATGAAGAGAAACCGCTGGTATGTTGACTGCAGCTTCAAAAATGATATCCTCACAACAGCAATCGAAGCACTGACGGAAGCAACGGACGAAAGCATCATTGCTAGGACAAGAGATCCATATTTTACTTGTGATTGTTCTGACATGATTTAATCTGAAATTTCATACTTTTCCATTCTTCAACAGCAGGAGCACTATCAATTCAATGCAAAAAAGCCACTGATGGTGATAACTGGAAGCACTTTCAACCCCCCTCCCCGTTACATGTATATGAAAGGGGGACCTACAGTATGTGCAACCTCGGCAAGACGGGGTAATTTTCAGATATTTGTGATATCCGGACGGACGGGGCTACTTCGGTGGAGAAATATAATTATTTTTTCTCCACGGTGGAGAAATAGATTTTTTTTTTCTCCACGGTGGAGAAAACAGCTTCCGGTGGAGAAACGACACCCCCAAGTCTTCCCCAAACGTAATCAATCATAATGAGAATTGACATTTCAGAAAAAGTCTTCTTCCACCTTGGGCTCGCACACTGCCTTCATACTCCATCACGAATCAGTAGCACCTTCAAGGTAACTATTAGTTGATTGTTGTAGCTTC